CGACCCTTCCCATGAATGAGAAGTATCCTATTGGCGACATCACAGTCGTTGAGGCTTTCTGGCGAACCCTGATTAAGAACAAGGATGAGAATGGAGAGGTCCCTTCGGCAGAGATGAACAAGACCTTTTTCCAGCCGTGGCTTACCGCCATGTCGGGTACCACTGCTGAGATGCTGGATGCTCTAGCTCATGGACAGAGCGAAGACGGCCCACGACCTGAGCCGCTCTTCAACGACCTGGTGCACATGAGCTGCAACGGCTCGCGCATTGTGAGGACCAAGACGGGACTGATTGGCACTGCGCCTTGGGACGTCCAGGAAGGTGATTTCGTGTGTGTCTTTTATGGCGGACAGACGCCGTTTGTGCTTCGCAGGGACGAGAACTGCCCCGGCAAGTACCGATTTGTTGGTGATTGTTATATCCACGGTATCATGGAGGGTGAGGCGCTGAGCATGGAGTTGGAGGAGCGGGAGTTTGTTATTTCATGATGACAACGACGATGATGACTATATTTTCTTTGGTGTAGCGGGCTTTCTTGGCTTTCGCATTTCCTCTCACCATTTTGTTTGGAGTCGAGCTGCATTGGTTGGCGTTTATGAGAAGGGTTTTCTTCCCATTCCTGGGTTGCCTGCATCGAGCATGGCATGGCATTCATTGTTATAGGTAGCTTTCTGAAGGCATTTTGAATGAGAATGATGAACAGAAGACGCCGTACAAATTCGTAGAAAGTGAAGGTGATGATGCTATCGTCAAGTTGCATTTTGTACAAAGATTTGGGCAGGTCAGGCAATTACCCCGCGACGGGAATCACCTCCCTGAGCGAATCCTTCCTCCCTTCCACCGCAATCTCCCTACCCATGCAGCCCAACGCTGCACCTCGTCCTCTTCCAGCAATAAATCCACTGTGTAATAATCCCTGGCGAGCTCCTCGTGGGTCTTGAAATGATGAACGAAACGATGGCAGGCACCGCATAGCCAGGCGACGTTCTGGAGATCTTCCCGACGGTGCCATCCACGCTTCACGGCCTTTTCGTGGACGAAACGAGGAATCAGGTGGTGGTACGACAGTGGGATGTATGAACGTTGACAGATTTCGCAGGCGTCGGTACGTGTGTTGCGTGTGGCTGGAGGTGGTTCAATCAAGGGTGTGATGTATGAGGTGAGGATTGGAAGGAGAAAGGCTTCTGGGGATGATGGGAGATTGGATGCGACAAAGGGATCCGGTGAGATGAGATTGTAAGTCGTTAGAGTCTCAACAATAGACGGCGACAAGTTTAGAACCGAAAGGCTCTCTTTGGTGAGCGGGAGCGAGTACTGATCACGCAGACGATCCGATTCCCGCCAGACACGATAATCCAAGCCCTGAAGCTCCTCTGGAAGACTCTCAAAGATCTCAGTAGCGAGGTAGTCGACAAACTCAGAGAGCTCCTCTGCATCCCGCTCCGGGTCCGCCGCCGGAGCGGAGACTGGGGCCGCTGAGCCCGAGTTCTTACGGCGGCGGCGACGTTTGGGCGGGTCGGGGGCGGACGATGCGGCGGGTTGCAGGAGGGTGGTGGATAGACAGTCCCGGAAGAGGGCGTAATTTTCGGAGTTGTCTTCTAGAGTCGACATTGTGATCAAGGTTGTGACTTGTAAGGAAGTGATTTAGTTGTGATGTATTTGGTTTAGTGACGTAATTGAGTTGGAGTCTGTCAATTGTTGCTGCTTAACGAGGCCTTTTTAAACAAACCCAAACCACCATTTCTCACGATATCAAAGACCATCAGTATCTCCTACAGAAACAGTTCGAATCCCCAAGACCTGTCCAAGCGTTGAAGCTGAAGCCATCTCATACGGTCGCTGCAAGCCTCGAACCAATATCAAGCCCCGGCTGAGTCACTCGGCCGGCCACCGCTAGACTCGCCGCCATCTCTCGGCAACGGGTAGCAGTGGCTGCGAACGCCTATTGCACTTGCATCTGTGAATCTGATGAATCTGCTTTGCTTTTCTTGGTCCTCAAGGATACCGCTGTCTACCAAGTCTTGTCCTTTCTTGTCGCCCAGACCGCCAAGGGCTTGTGTCAAAGCCAAGACCCTCGGCGCCGAGACCGAGGCGGAGCAGGCCAAGGAGGAGCACCACGTGGCCCCGGCCGCCGGCCGACGAAGGCGCCGACCCGGGGGGTGACTCACCTTGCCGGAGGGTCTACGGTGCGATGACTCGGAGCGCGTCATTCCTTCGGCAGTTGGAAGTGATGGGCGCCGCAGGCTTCCAAACATAGAACCTGCGTCGCATTCCTCACCCAGTGACGACGTCCCGTGTTTGATAGTCGCGGGCTTGGCCGAGGGAGTAGGGCGGTGCTTATTACGACGACACGGCAAAAGGTTGACAACGCGGGATACTGTACCTGAACAATTCACGTCAACGTCCCCGGGCTGGACCATTCGTATCGCGACGGCTGAGCTGCATGAAATGGACGAGACGTCATGGTGTTTCATCAGCCTCACCCGTGTCGGCTACAATCCGACAAACAATAACCTGACGTGTAATGGCAAGATCTACCAGGCAGCTATGCGACGACCCTTCCCTCTGCATCCTAGGAGAAAGCGGTCTGACAGCCTCATTTCCTGAATCATGATCACTGGAGGTGTGGTGTTGAGGCGTCAAGCTAACTGCGAAGAAAGCTGGCTGCAGATCCGAAAAGCCCCCACGCCCAGCCTAGGAAAATATTAAGCTGAGACATGACTAACATTTTTTTTGCCAAAGCTGATCTTGTTTCTTATCAAAAGAGAGGTGACACCAAGGGATTAAAAAAAAAAGATGCACGCATTTGCATAACCGAAGCGCAAGCGAGGAGTGAGAGACTTGCTGGCTGAATACGTACCTCGCTACTTCTGAGCAAGGAAGTGAAAAGGGCAGATTCAGATTGTTTCCCCCGGCTTCCCGTGCCCGAGTACTACTGAAGATTTCGGCCTCTAGGGCAAGGGATGACGAGATCTAGATTCGTTTCTGTCGGTCTTGAGAAGGGTTAGCTCTGCGGCGCAGCTATGAGACAGGCGAGGCAGCGCCTACAGACGGGCGTTGCGTCTATAGCCGTCTGGGAAGAGCAATGGCGGTGATTAGAAGTATGTAGCTCCGTGTACAGCTTGAGAGGCCTGTCCAAGTCGATTGACCTTGTCATGTCCATTTTTTGACCACCGTCGAGGTCAGCCTTGTCACCTTTGTTGCTCAGAGGCTGCCGGCGGATCCGAGGAGGGGTTGCGAGAGGCGAGAGTCAGGAGAGAACGCGTGAAGGGATTCAGATTGGGGGATCTCGAGAATATATTATCCATCCAATGGCCGCCGGGTGTCACATTTCCAAAACACTTGCAGGGGGGCGGGCCGAGCTGTGACATGTCAGCTCGCCATGCAACATCGAATCTTGAAATAGCGTCATCAATAGGCTCTTGTAAGAGAATCAAGGGCCGAGATAACGGAGCAGCCCTCTTCCATGGCAAAGGCCTTGACCGAGGAGGCAGTCCGCATAGCAGTCTTCTGACATGTGCATGGGAATTGGGATTCTTTCCTAGCACAGCATGGTCAAGGTGTTTTCCCATGTTGCACCGGATGCAAGTCAGAGATGGCTCATCACCAACCCCAGGTTGACGATTAGTGTCCAAATACCGCAGAGCCCATGCTCCTCTCACCACCCAATGATAACGATGGCGAGACAGCGACGGTGAAGCCTAGTGACGATGCTGGATGTTAGAAACCTGGGGACGCGGGCCAACACACACATCCACTATGTTTATGTTTGGCTGGGGGACGGGAGCCAGCCCAGTCCCAGGGATTGGTTTCCGCCGACAGCGGAACTACTACGTACGGCTCCTCCTAAAGCGGCAGTAGGATGAGATTCTGTGATAGGGATTTGAAATAGATATGTCATCTCTCATTATCCATCCCCCGCAATGGATGGTAGAAGTGGGGGGAGCTTTGCTTGACCGGGCGATGATGCTAGAAGTGAAGAGAGGGGAAGAGGAGGAAAAAAAATCGACAAGGGAAGTTGGAAGCGCGTAAGCCGCGGCGCAGACGAAAGGCAAGAGGGTTGTCGGCCTCATTGAAGTAGGCTAGTCTAGCAATCCTCCCGAGTTACGCAGCATGAAGGCCCAGTATGTCCAAGATGGGTAATTCATTGGCCTGCCAAGTTGTTGGTGGTGGAGGGGAATGGTGTTTGCATCAGCTTAGACGGGCCGAGTAGGCGGAGAACTTGACCTGAGACAGTCCAGTGCAGCCTGATTTTACTGTTGATACGATTGATATCAACAAAACGAAGAACAGAAAAAAAAAGAGAGGCCAGACATGCCACAAGCTGTGAAAAATCTATGGGCTGTTACAATCTAGAAATCGTGTCTTCCACGTGAAAATTGCCTCTCGGGGAGACACCCCAGCGGCTCCGCGCCCGCCAGATGCTTGCGCTGCGCGACATTGAGGTGCCCTGCCCTGGGCCCAGCTCTGAGCTGGCCTGGCCTCAACAACTTTCACATGGGACTTGGAGGGGCCAGAGCGCTGACGCTCGTTTCGCCCTGCGCCCAAGGGAGGCCCGAAGCAACCAAAACCACACGGGAGATGCGCTGACCCGCACGCCATGTGAGGTCACCGTTCGGCGCATCTCGACCGGCGACGCGCTGAGGGTTGAGGGTCAAACGCTCCAGTCCAGCTTGGGAATTACCCGATTGCGCTTCTCCCCCCCGTCACTCGTGGGGGCCTGGGACCCTTTCGATCGCCCACCTTCGCATCATGGGTGAATCTATTGGGTGTTGGAGGAGGGGACCTTGTCCCAGCACTAAGGCGTGGTCCCCCTCTCCTGGGTAGGCCTAGGGTCCCGTCTAGGGGACAAGCGAGTGGCATGGTGGTGTGCCCTCTCACAACAAGACAGCCCCGAATCACAAATGGAACGGAGCCTACGGAGATGGTGTTTTTTAAAAGGGGCCCTCTTTCTCTAATGGCCCCTTCTCTTGGGTTGTTTTGACATATTCCTTCCAGAAGCAAAAGATTCTACAGTATTCATCACCTAGATAAATCTGTCTCGACAGGTTCAACGATAGCAACACCAAGTACTACACTCTACAGCTTATCAATATCAACACTCACAACATGCACACCTCCAAGTTGAACACTCAGCCAAACAAGGCCATGTTCATCGACAACATCGCCAGTCTCTCCGACCCTCTGTCCTCCATGTCATCCATCTTCTCCCTCGTCTCCCTCCTGACCATGGCTTATCAAGTCCGGACACCACAGCCCTCGGTCCAGCAGCGTCTTCTCACCCTCCTCAACACAATGTCACCAGCCTTGACGACAGGGACTCAGACAACACCCGACTCGCCAAGGGGATACTCCCGTGAAGAGATCCTCAACTCCTTTGTCCACTTCCTCAGCCCCGTGCTCAACGGCATGGCCGGCATGCTCGAACTCCTCTCAGCCGTCGACGCCTTCTCACGGCCAGAGGACTTTAGACAATTCTGGAGCCTGGAGCGGAGCAACCTCATCAGGGACTTTATCGAGAGCGGGGGACCTCTGCGGGGGATGGAGGGCTACGACGTTCCCTTCCTCGAGGCCTTTGTCAAGGACTCATCCTGCAGAATCGCCCTCGGCAAGAACCAGGGCATGCTACTTCTGGTGCCCGGCGACGCCGAAGTCGGCGACGATGTCTGGTGGGATGAGGACGAGCAGCGTCTCACCGTTTCAAGAAAGGGCGAGGAGGATCTCAACGCCGCCGAGGCGTATCTCGACGACGGTTCAAGAATGGCTGTCTTGGCCATTTCTTCTGCGACTTAGAAAGAGAGACATGGCGCTTTCTCTTTCCTTTTTTGACGATTTTACGATCTTTTGCTTTTTTTTTTGTGTTTGATCTGATATCCACGCTAAAGAAGTTTTTTTGAGATTGGGTTAACGGCGCTCACTGGGGATATATGCTGGCGTATTGTGAGCGTTTACATGGATAGAAACAAGTTTATTAGGATAAATAATAGTATAGCATAGGTACTCTTTCTCGTGAGTTCACGATACCTTCCAATGAAAATTCCTTAAAAAGGCAAACACCTTTCTCGCACGGGCAGTCATTGGTATGCAGCACAGTGCTATGACCCATTTCGCACCACTCATCGGTCATCCCTGCCCACTTTTTAGCGTATCGTGCAGATCTCTTGCAAGCTCCCATCACTCGAACCTGCAGCTGCCGCTTCTCGTCCTCCACTCTTCAACTCCTTTCTCTTGTCTCACCGTCTCTGCGGCCGTCAGCAAAAATGGCATCAGACGAAGAACGCGACGTTAAACGCAGCCGGCAATGGTATGACGATCAAGATCAGAAACCTAAAGACAAGGATCGTCGATCAAGGCATTCGGACCGTGACTCTGGCCGCCGAGACCGTCGGAGATCACGCGACAGACGCGACAGGCGACGTTCAAGAACTCCCGATGCTCCACGGCGGAGATCACGCAGCCGTGATCGCGATCGAGACCGTACCCGCGAACACAGACGTCACCGATCACGAGACGACCGAGGCTCGCGACGCAGCCGCCGCGACGACGACGATGGGGACAACAAGCAGGTTGCAAAGCGCAGCCCGGTGAGGCGGTCGGGCCCCCTCCCATCACAGGAGGACTCTTTTGCCATTACGAATGGGGAAGAGCCTGAGAAGCCCAAGGAGAAACCCAACTACGGTACTACGGGCGTATTGGCCGCCGCTTCAAACTCGGTGGCACAGGTCGATGGCTCGTCCATCACGCTCAAGTACCATGAGCCCGCTGAAGCCCGTAAGCCCTCGCCCCGTGACCAGTGGAGGCTCTTCGTCTTCAAGGGAGGCGACATTGTCGACACGATTGATCTGGGCGCGAGGAGCTGCTGGCTCGTCGGGCGGGAGATGTCTGTTGTTGACTTGCCCGCCGAGCACCCGAGCATCAGCAAGCAACACGCCGTGATCCAGTTCCGGTACACCGAGAAGAGGAACGAGTTTGGTGACAAGATTGGCAAGGTCAAGCCCTACCTGATTGACCTCGAGAGCGCCAACGGCACCGTTTTGAACGATGAAAAGGTGCCCGACAGCAGGTACCTGGAGCTCAGGGATAAGGACATGATGCAGTTTGGCCACAGTACACGAGAATACGTCATCATGCTCACGCCACGGGAATAAGAGATACCCTTTTGTGGAGGAAACGAGGCTATGTTGGACGTTGACTTACTCCGTCGGTGCCTTCGAATTCCCGTTGACGCGCAACATCCATCTCAGCATCAATTTCAACGCAGCATGCACCAGAGCGACCAGTACGATATCCAATGGTTTCCATCCTCTTGACGAAAGCCTCAATGTCGACGCAAAACCTGCAGATTCCACCCAGTTGGTGAATGGAGTCAGACCACGAGAGCCACAAACGCAGGCTCACGAGGTCCTACGAGGTCCTACAAAGCCTCAGGGCGACAATCCAATAATTAACTCAGCGCCCAATTTACAAGATGGCTTGGTGCAAGAGCCTCATCCTGGGGTAGGGAAATCGCTCAAAGTGCCATGCCACGGTCAGAAGTCGGCTCTCCAATCCTGCGCTTTCAGAGCCTTTAGTGAGGGACTTTGGTGGCGGATGATACAGTTTCCTTTCGGTGACCAGAATTGACTCACTCCAATTCGCGACCGAAGGCAGATTTGGCATTGAGGCGGACAGGCCAAGACTTGCATTCAGCTGGTTGCTTCTGCTGCCCGTGGACACTGACCAACACAGTTACCCTCTGGGCGCGGCTGGGCAATATTAGGCTACCGACTCGTGTTAAAAGACATACACACGCGGCCCTGGAAATGAAAAATAATCTGTACTCAAGCGATCAGGCTCGGTATGTGCGAGCCCACAGGTTTACCACTGGCTCCCACAAGAATATGGCGCTCACAGTTGCTGCTGGACGGCGAGTGATGCCACACTGGCCATCTCACGGCCTAGCCGAATGCTCAGTTCGACCAAGAGCCCTGTGTAACATCCTGGAAAAGATCCCGCATACCCGCGCGGGAGATGTGCATGTCCCCATACCAAGCCCCCGGGCCGACGAACGAGTATCTACGGATATAGCTACCTACCTACCTATAAATACGACATCCATCTACCCAAAGAGTCTGACCCTGTCACACAAAAACCCAGTGATACCATGATCCTCGCCCGTATTCAGGAACAAACTGGCCATGACAGGCCCGAAACGTCTAAATGAGTGCGTCTGACATGAGGCGACAGAAAGCCTTGCACTTTACCCCAGCCGGGCGAGGGACTCAGCCACGCCTGATGCCCTTGCTGACTGGAAGCATCGCAGCCTTCTTTTCCGGGGCAGTGCTCCCCGCACCATCACTGCTGCGTCTTGTGACGGCTGTCAATGGTGTGTTGCAGTCGCGGGTTGTGGCGGCTAAGAGCCCCATAGCCTCGTCTTGTTGGTTGAGCGAGAGTGTGTGATTGCTCATCCTCCACGACCAGGCAGCGCTATTCAAAGCAGCCTCATGGCTGAGTAGGTCATTTTCTTTTAATAAGCCGGGTCTGCCGCCAGCTGTCGAGTTGTCCTTTTCTCTTCGCCGATCAATATCCAATGTTGACAGAACCGAATCGCAACTTCAGTGTCCCCCTCTTTGACGACACATCATGGTAAGGCATCATGACTGAACTCTTACAGAAACTCGAGCTGACTGCCGTCTGGCAGGGGTCTGAGAATCGTTCCATAACTCGATACGACACAACTGCAGTATACACACACACCGACGCAAGGGTCGACATCGTCCTCGTTCACGGCCTCAGCGGCTCACCCGATAAGACATGGACGGCCAAGAATGGCACCTTCTGGCCCCGTGACTTGCTGCCTACAGCACTAAAGGACGAAAAGGCCAGCATTATCGTGTACGGGTACAACGCCGATGTCAACTCCAAGACAACTGCTCGAAATGTTAGCGACACTTTCGTACACCAACAAGCCGAGAAGCTTGCAGAGAGCGTCATAAACCACCGGCAACGTGAGGGTACATGCAAGAATCCCATCATCTGGGTATGCCACGGACTCGGCGGCAGCATCGTCAAGCAGGCATTAGTCCATTCAAACGCCATACACGAGCCTCACCTCCAATACCAGCGGTCCATATTTGTCTCTACATACGGGATCGTATTCCTAGGAACGCCGCATACTGAGGATGCCAGCACTTGGGGTCAAGTCCTCCAGGCCATGTCAGATGCGATAGCTCCCAAGAGGTTGTTCGGCGGCGAGCCTATGCTCTTAAAGACGCTTAAGAAAGACCCAGAAGCCCTCACCAGAATTGATAACCGGTTTTGCAACATCTATCGAAACTTCGAGATCCTCATGGTCCACGAAAACCAACCGTCAGAGATCAAGGGCTCCAAGTAGGTCTTCCCCGAGCTCATAATACTTGTATTCGCTAACAACTACCATCTAGGTTTTTCGTTGTCGGGGCAGAAGTAGCTCACCCCCCTTTGCCTCATACGACCTCCTTTGGCATAGAGGCAGCACATTTGAGCATGTGCAAGTTCGACAGCTTAAAAGCTCCAGGCTTTATTAGAATCCGGACTGCTATCCAAAAATGGGTTCGTGATGCTCCCGCTCAAGTTCAGAAACACTGGATGCGCGAGAACGAGAGTCCCGCTTCCGCCGCAGGAGATGAAGTGATGCCGCCGTTCACGCCCTCTCAAACGTCAGGCGAGCACCATCTCCTGGCACCCACAGACAACATGACGAGGTCACCTCCCCTTCTGCAACTAAGGAACGAGCCCACTTTTGTTCACCCAGAGCGTTTCCGACCGAATTCTTTCTTCAAGGGCCGGAAACAAGAGCTGACTGACCTCCACGAGATGCTGATGGACAAGGAGCGCCGGGAGGATGGAACATCAGCTGTCTTGATCTGGTCAATTCCAGGAGGTGGCAAGACCCATCTTGCGAGAGAGTACGCCTTCAAGCATAAACACGACTACCCAGGTGGAATCTTCTGGGTACGAGCCAAGTCTCCAGAAGATATTATGGATGCCTTTGTGAGAATTGCTAAACACGCCATGGCTCGGAACGAGATCGAGATCCAAGACGAGACATCTCTGCAGGATCATAGCAAGGTCATCCCTCTAGTTCGAGACTGGCTCAATCGGTCCGACAACTGGCTCCTCATCCTGGATGGCGTTCTGCACGACACTCCCGACTTAGCCGACTGTATCCCTGATACTGTCAATACCAGCATGATCTTGACATCGACCGACACTTCGATTGCGGGAAACCACAACTTTGATAACCCGCAGAAACTGGAGCTAGGGCCCCTAGGTGAAGAAGAGGCACAAATGTTGTTGCTAGAAGAGACGGACAGGAAGAAGACGTGGACACCTGATGATCTTGATCGAGCTCTTGAGATAGCCAAGTTGACGGAATGCTTGCCTCTAGCCATTCACGCCGCCGCTGGTCAGATGAGGGCAACTCGAGAGCCAATGTCCAAATACATCCGCTCTTATAAAAAGCGACCCCAAGCGGGCGGCTTAGGAGCATACAAGGCTGTCCGAGAAAAGCTGGAGGAGCGTGGTGAGACGGAGGCACTCAACTTGATGTACCTGTTGTCTTTCTTTAGCGGCAGCATCCCCGTCGAGATGCTTGCACTTGGTATGCCCCCCCTGTGTAGCACACTTGGGACACCAGGCTAACAATTTCATAGGCCTTGAGGCACTTGACGGCCGCACACCCGTCCTCGCCAACAACTCTGTAGGCAAACCCAGTCTCAACAAGACATTCACTGTTCTCATCGCCTTTGCTCTCATCGAGCGTGATGAGGTTGAAGACATGCCCTCTTTAGGCAGCACACAACCAGCTGAACCCCTTGATGTGCTCAAGACCCACACTATCGTTCAGAGCTTCTTTCTCGAAGCCTTGAAAGGGGATGGTTTGTTCGAGTTTTGGCTCGAGCGTGCTGCTGCTGTCTTTCTCAAGTCCTTTGACAAAGGTGACCGTCGCGCCAGGGACATGACGGAGATGGGTCTTCCAGGCGACTACCGGACATATGCTTCTCACTGTCGCAAGATTCTGAAGCACATCAGAGGCGTTGATGAGCCGACGCGCGAATTGCTTGTCGCCGAGAAGGCGCTTCAGAGTCGATCCGAGGATATTCAGGGGCAGATTTCGGCCCTTGCACGCACAATGACGACAGAGTCTTTCGGGAAATGGGGGCAGGATCCCCACGTGTCGGTCTTCGAGAGAACCAATAGCGCATCCCCTTCAAGATGGGTTGAGGCCACGGATGGCGGCAGGCTCCCAGACGAGAGGCAGAGTTCATGGGATCTGCAGGCTAGTCTGCCTGCTCGGGAACACAACCCCCACTTCGACCACATCCCGTATCCGTACGACAGCACCATCCTAACACCGCACTTTTTCAAGGACGAATCGCACCACACTGTGCAGAGGCAGCCAGCCGGGGGCTACTTTGATCCAGCTGGATCTTGGCCAGAGACCACAGAGCACGTATCGGAGCCGAGGGTAAGCATCAGCAAAGTCGCTCTTGGCCGGTTCTCTCCAAGAGGGTCAACTCTGGACCTGTCCCCACCAGGAACAAGCCCAATTTTGTCTCTTGGCGCAGAAGAGCAGTTTTATCTCGCCCAACATGCCATTACCCAGTCCAGCCCGAAGGTGTCCGAAAACAATGGCCAGACTGCCCATACGGCAAATGTATCCGACCGAGAGACAGATCTCGATGTTATTGAAAGCGGAGCTGTGGCTAGTTTCAGAGGACGCAGCTCACAGGATGTCAACATCGAGCCTCAGTCACAGCGTCAGGCACGGCCGAGGACCCGAAAGCTCGTCGAGGAGAACCCCTTCTTCGAGGGGAGTGGCTCTGTCGACGGTGCATCTATCCCCTCGATGGATATTGCCAACGCAGATTGGCGCTCAGTGTCTCAAGAGCGGCCGATATCAACTCATACTGGACCCAACCACTCACAGACATCGCTCGAGTCAGATATTGCCCACTGGGCACCAGGTCTGCCTATCGTTAGTAACTCGACAAGCAGCCTGCGACATGTCACTCACTATCCCGATTTGAGATATTCTCAACATCGAGCCGCGGTTGCTGGCGAGAGCCTGTCCAGCTCCCTTCCAACTAGCCACATCGGTAGCACCCTCAAGCCGCCGTCATGGCGTCCGTCATCCTCAGGCCCAGACGGCTACTCATCTCAGCCAATGTCGCGCACTCCATATTCCAACCCGGAACTAGTCGTTCCTTCAACCCATCACAGTTCCACTTTGAGCACAGCGACGTCACACAGTCCCCCCATCCAAATCCGCGGCCCCCCCTCGACCGCAGCGACGGAGCCCTCGCCGCGCCTTTCCGGCGTCGACAATGTCCCTATTAGCCGTCAGGCCTCGCAGCTGCGGCACGCGGGTCCATGGAGCCCGGAGCGGGGCTCTCGGTGGGACTTTGCTCCCAGGCAAGCGTCCGAAGCGGTGGAGATGCAGAGGTCGGGGTCCGGGGGGATCCAGTTCAATGGGCGCATCGTCGAGTTTGGGCGCTCGTCTTCAGGTAGCCGACCGACCTCAACCTCCCCTAGGATGCCTGCCTACCCGCAGAAAATAACCGAGACGAACGAGATCGTGACCCCAGTGAGGAGGCCCGTGGGGTTGGGGATTGTTGTTGCCGATCCGGAGAGACGACAACAATCCTAATGAGACTTCGTGTGACGAACTATCACCTATGGCCAAACCATTTTCTTTGTCCTCACAAGTTTTGCCAACTGTTGTACAACTGTATAGTAATTTCGAGTTTCGTGGGTCATAGAGTAGGCGTTTAGGATATACTGAGAATTCATAGAGGGCTGGAAAACAGCATCGGAAAATAGACGGCGTTAATCGTATGCTATCTCTTCACTCCACTAGTCAATCGGGAGTTAAAATGTCGGAATGTTAGTCCCTTGCTAGGTCTCTAGACTGTTTCTTTAGGGAAGCGATATTCATCTTTTCATTCCCTTGCTCCCTGGCTGTAACATTCGGCATAATCTCGTAGCAGTATCTTGCCGCGGCGTCTTCGTAAATCGATAATAGTCCTGATAGCAGGGATCTGAAGACTGTTTGCTCGGCCATCCCACCAGAGCAGGTAAGTACTCTGCCCATCAATGGCGGTTTGCCTGGGTTGCTTCCTTGCATGACGCGAGAGAAAAGATGGGCACGGCAGCGGCCCTTCGTGGCAGGCAGTTGGGCAAGACTGAGACGCCGGGCGTGGTGGTTTGTTCTGTAACTTGATTCCGACATGCGCAGAGTAGCAAGCAGTGACCGGTTCCGCGACAGTAATTCTCATCGAGTGGATACGAACTAGGGGTGATGTTCTCCCTGCGGCCGCGATCAACTTTTCGCGACGACGCCTTTGACCAACTACCATCCTATCCGGCACATTGGTAGGCGGTACAGCGTCTCGGCCTAGCCCTTGGGAGCGAGTCAAACACTGTCAGCACAGGGATGCTCTTCCACCACTGCTGGTCTAACAGTTGCTTGTGAAAACCATTGCGAAGCCCAAGGCGGGTCTCTAAAGTGACGTCGGTTTCATTGGAGCTCATGGTGAGTTGCCGCGCGCGCAATCATGGCCGTAGTATTGGCCGCGGGTGCGGCTGGTGGAGTCTAGTATGCTTGTCAGTTGCAGAAGGACTTCAACGCCAGACACGAGGCAGAGTGAAAATGAGGGACAAAGCCTGGACAAGGGTAATGCATGAATGTGCGAGGTATTGCAGCCCGACTTGGCAAATCTCAAAACCATTGTTCGACAGCTGAGCCGTTGTGTCCCAGGTAGTCAGCCTCCTCGATCAACTCGAGAGGCAATACTCATGATGACTTGGTATCAAATACCTATCAGTCCAACACCCTGGTTCCATCACTCGGGATGAACCAAGGCAGTGTGGTAAGCTCGGATTTGAAAGGTACATGTAGGGGTCCACTCGAATCGACGTGCTCTTCATGGGAGATGACAATGGCAGATCTTGCTGTTTCAAGGACTTCTCGGATTGACAATGTTACATGGTGTTTCGGCAGTCGAGGTACTCGCCGGGACACCGCCATGTGCTATTGCAGCTGGCGCAGTAATTGGGTGTGAGAAACTTGAGGCCTCCTGAGTGTCTGGTACGATACACCGGCCTTCGGCACAGAGTTGACAGATTGCGCTTTTGTCGATTGGATGCCACGCGGATTTTGAAGGCTTGGCTGCGGTGATAGCTCAACTACGTCACAAAGATCCTTGGCGGTTGTTGAGCGTCGATCCCTTGTCTCAGGATCGGCAAGTTCCCTCGTCTGGTACCGAGATCAGACTAGACCGCCAAGGTGCGTGGCCTTCTGAGTCGTGGCCAGACAAGGCCAGACAAGGCCAGACTGGTAAAAGTTGACAAGGAAAGCCGCCGCAGTCGACGGGAATAGCATAGCGCACTTGACATGCGCCGAGAAACGGACCTAGAGGTCATCAAACCAGCCCGGTCAGCCTAGGATGCTGGTGTGCTGAGGCTGCCATCCTGGCGTAAAAAGACCCTGAAGTGTGCAGACATGTGAAGAGTGGCCTCCAGGGACTTCAGGGACCACCCTGAGATATCTCAGCTCCTTGACACGGCCATAAGACGTGAATCTGGGAGTAGAGACAAGAGGTCGCGTGTAAGTCGATAGGAAAACGAACCCCTAGAGACGCACCCCAGGCCATACCTGGGGAAGATGGACAAACTCGCGGGACTCTGCTCCGTATCAGACTGGATCGTGGATAGCGACGGGGAACTCTTACTGTGCCCAACACAGTTCCCGTTCAGATCGAGCAAAGGTCCGTCAGATACAGTCAGGAAAACTGCGCAGAAACAGGCTGAGAAGTCCGCTTGGATCCACCGAGATACATCAGCTTGAGACATTTGCAACCAAGCAAACGGACCACGAGTGGCCAACGAGATTGGGGCGTGGATGCCGTCTCTGACTGACCGAGTCCACTCTTAGTCGATGAAGCCGCCCGGTGCGCAATGGACGGCCGGGCGACTGTCTCACTCGGTTAAAAACTGACGCTGCTGGCGAGAAAACCGTCAGATATCCTGGATGCCGTCCCCATCATGTGGGTTTGGTGAGGTTGACTGAAGGGTCGAGGCCAATCGCTGAAGCACCGGCTGCTCGGAGGACAGGAATAAGAGGGTCGGGCTGCGTGAAAGGCCGCAGGGAGGTGGAGCTGAGAAGATAACGGAGGCTTCAGTTAAGCCAGCCGCGTGTCCGAGGCCTGTCGTCTTACGGTCCAACGTCGACTAGTTTGCAGCTGTTGCAGGGATGAAGTTGGAACATGGCCGAGAAGTTGTAGACGGGACGGGCTATTATCTAAAGGTACATGATTGGTCGGGGATTTACGTTTTGGTATGCACTGTGCAGCTGGTGGATCGTTGCGTGCATAAACACAGTGCCATTCTGTTTCTGTTACAGAAGATCCCGTCCCTCCTTCCCAAGGAGATTTTTCACGTTTCGCCAGGAAGGTACGTACCCCTCCATAATTTGAACGGAAACCGAACTCGGATAGCTCCTCCAAGAAGCTCAAGCTCGGAAAGCTCTCCCATTTCTCAGCAGAAGCCATCTTCACATGCACCATTCAATGCGTCTCGACGAACTTTACAAGTCAACCAAATCTCACGCTTCTCACGGTTTTTAACGGTTCGCTATGGTCTCCCAAAGACGGGCTACTCACGGCTCGTCGCATTGATACCAGCTCCACCGCTTCTCAAAGTTTGATGCCAAAACTTCTAGAATGTCGTCACAGGCCCCCTCGAGCGTCGCCAAACTCGCTGGCGTTGATATTCAGGGTCCATCTTTTAGTGGATCTGTCTGGATCTCTCAGGGATCTCGCAGGAGGCGTCTGCGCCACTCGCTGCGCGCTCTGTAGTTCCCTTGGGGTTCCTTGGCCAGACGTTGCAGTCCGCAGACATCCAGCCATCCATCGCCAGTTCCACACTGCCGTCATCCTTCCAGACTGCGGCTCGTCCATCAACTGGAGACACGAAAACGAAACAATGGATCCTCGAGATAAAATCCCGCATGTGTGTTATCGCCAGTCTCTCCACCATACCCACTCTCACCATGTACGTGAGTGTACTCCGTACGTACCCTCTTATTAAGGTACTCAGTTGAATCCACGGCAAGACGGGGTCCCCAGGGGTCACTCCACGACCCACACCGGCGTCGAGCAGTGACGGGGGCGGTGTTGATACAGTACAGTATTGTATCGGGCGGCAAGGACGGCCGTGAGGGATCTCGGCGAGCGTGCGAGATGGGCGAATATGCTCAGCTCTAGGCGTGCTTGAGCAAGGCCAGGGATATCTGGATGAGAATTGATCGAGATCGAGGAGACATGGAAGCAATGAATCCAGGTATTTAAGGCATCAAGGGCTCCCCATGCGACCAACTCGTTGCTATCATCCTCCATTCCATCATCTCTCAAGCCTCTACCATCTACACTTTCTGATATCCCCGAGGTCTCCCCTTTTTTTCGTCTTACAGAAACAGCGTTTGCTTTATACCACATCAATTACTACCTTCAAAATGGCTCCCTCCGCTATCACCCCCGAGGCCTCTCCCGAGCGTGAGATCTATGTCAAGAAGCCCGTTGAGCAGACTCAGGTCCGCAGCCACTCTGGCTCTGTCTCCTCCGTCAAGCTCAACGATGGCAACTATATCCCCCAGGTCGCCCTCGGTGTCTACAAGGCCCCTAACGGCCAGGAGACTGAGGACGCCGTCACTGCCGCGCTGGAAGCTGGCTACCGTCACATCGACTCTGCCGCCCGCTATGCCAACGAGGAGGCTTGCGGTCGTGCAATCCGCCGCTGGCTCAAGAAGACCGGTACCCCTCGCGAGGATGTCTACGTCTGCTCCAAGCTCTGGGACTCTGACCATGGCTACGAGGCCACTTTTGAGGCTCTCTGCACCTCTCTGGACAAGTTTGGCCTTGACTATCTCGACCTTTACCTGATTCACTCCCCTGCTCAGGATGAGGAGAAGCGCCTGGAGAGCTGGCGTGCTCTGGAGACTGCCCAGAAGCTCGGCAAGGTTCGATCCATTGGCGTCTCCAACTTTGGCGCTGCGCACATGGAGAACCTCCTGGAGAACGCCCGTGTTCCCCCTGCCGTCAACCAGGTCGAGGTCCACCCCTTCTGCCAGCGCCAAACCCTCGTCGATCTCTGCAACAAGCACGGCATCAAGATCGAGGCCTACTCTCCTTTGGCCCGTGGCAACAAGCTTGAGGACCCTACCATTGTTGAGATTGCCAACAAGTACGGCAGGACCCCTGCTCAGATCCTTCTCAACTGGAGCGCTGCTCGCGGCAACGTTGTCCTGCCCAAGAGCTTGACCCCCCACCGCATTGAGAGCAACCTCAACAGCTTCGACTTTGAGCTCAGTGCTGGCGACATTGCTCGCATCGACGCTCTTGAGGAGAACTATGTCACTGGCTCCATGCACAAGTCTCACGACTGAATGAAACATGAATAAACGACTTTATGACAACCAGTGGAAATGGCTGGGTAAACATAAACCCGCCTACCACTCTTTCTACGCGTCGCAACTGGAATTGCTCGACGTATGATTCCCCCAAAGCATCGCGTCGACCTCAAGAGAGCTTGTGAAGCCCAGCCACTACTCTCGCGGTCCTCGGCAACGTTTTTGGTATTTTATTTTTAGAG